TTCTTCTTCTTCTTCTTCTTCTTCTTCTTCTTCTTCGTTGCGCGGCACGTGCGGGCTTGGCAGTAGCAGAGACAGAGAGAGAGAGAGAGAGAGAGAGAGAGAGAGAGAGAGAGAGAGAGAGCGTGAGAGAGAGAGAGAGAGGGAGAGAGAGAGAGAGTTTTCTCACTCACCACGCTGCCTGCCCGCACGCGCCACCGCCAAGCCTCATACGCCACCGCCGCCCATCCAGCGCCGCGGCACCGTTCTTTGCCGCACGCCCGCCATCGCCGCACGGTGTTTTAGTTTCGACCGCGACCGGACTCGGCCGAACTCGGCCGGCCGTGATCGAACGCGACCGGAGGTGACCGGAGCGGCCGAGACGGCCACGCCGTGGGGGCCGCCACCGGGGAGGCTGGGGCGGGCGTTTAGGTTGGGGTGCTCGCCACTGTGCTAGAGACCCGCGCCCACCTCGGGTGCCGGCAGGGGGAGGTCTACGGAGCGGCCAGCGAGGACGACATTGAGCAAGTTCACTTACGCGTGGCTGCAGTGGATCTACGCGAGGAGGTTGCCGTTCAACGCCTTCGGAGGACCAGAGTTCCAGAGGGTGCGTCAGGCGGCGGAGAGAGTCCTCGGCAACGTTCGCTTCCAGTTTCCCTCCTACAGGGTTACAGCGGGTGTCGGGATCCCTTCGCAGAGGGGGAAGGTGGCGACGATGGTGAGCGAGGTGCAGTCCGCTTTCAGGCACACCGGTGCTACCATCCTCTCCGACCGAAGGAAGTCGCGTAGCGGCAAACCGCTCGTGAACTTCCTGGTGGGGGGCGCCAACAGCGCCCTGCTATATGCGACCGTCGCACGTGACAGCCCTGACACGGCGGATGTCGTGTATCCCAGGTGGCGGGCCATCATCTTGTCCTTTCCTGCAAAGGACATGGTCGGCTTCTGCACGGACTCCGCCAGTAACTATACGGCGACAGCCCATGGATTCGCCACCGACCCCGACGCAGACATCAGAAGGATCACTTGGCTTCCCTGCTCCACCCACGTCTGAAACTTGATGTTGTCAGACGTCGGGACGGGAGTGGGGTGGGTCAAGGAGACCATCATCCGTGCCCGAGCGTTTGTGCGATTATTAAATCGCACGGCGCTGCGTTCGCCCTTTTTAGGAGGATGAGCCCTCGTGTCACGCTGGTTGAGCCCGTTGAGACCCAGTTTGCATCAGTTTTCCTGATGCTGACGTGTCTCAGAGGCTGGCGGGACGCGTTAGAGAGCATGCTGCACAGCGACGCGTGGGCGCTCATCCCGTGGGGGCGCAGGCTTGTCTCCCAGGCACAGTGGGTTCAGCAGCAGATCCGCGACGGCGAGCTCTGGCGATGCATTGACTGAGCCATCCGCGTTATGTCGCCCATCCACGAGCTCTTTAGGAGGATGGATAGAGGGGGGATGATGATGTCCATTGTTTACGAGTGAAGTCGGCATCTTCTCGAGTTGATGAGGAGGGTGGATGTGCCGGCGGACATGGTCGAGCCGTGCGTGCGCGAGGTTGTCGTCCGCAACCTCCACATGCTCGAGCCCACACATGCCACGGCACACCTCCTCAACCCTCGCCGCCGGTCCCTCCGATATTATGAGTTGTTGCAAACGACCAGCGACGACGCCCGTGTGGTCGAGGAGTGCGACAGATTTATGCTCGCACAGACTGGCGGCGATCCGGTCGGCAGACTGTAGAGGACAGTCCGCGACCAGATCAGGCATTTCCACTCACGGCAGGGAGATTGGGGAGATCGACAGTTGTCCGATGCCAAGGCCGACGACTGTCGGGGGGACCGCGAGACTGAGCGTTGTGCCCAGTGGTGGTTTGATCACGGACATCGTCACGCTGAGTTGCGCACCATCGCCATCGGTGTGATGCACTTGTGGACGTCCGCCTCTCCTGCGGAGAGGAACTGGGCGCAGCACGAGCGCATCAACACTGCGAGGCACCACAAGCTTTGCTTTGCCAAGCTTGCACAACTGGGAGATTGCCACCAATATCAAACTGGCCGGGTGCGCACAACAGGGTAGTCGCTACGTGTTGCCCTGGGTTATGGGGACCGGTCAGGAGGAGACCGTGGGAGGGCAGGAGGACGACGAGGGGGACGTGGACCCCGAGGTGTGGGCAGTTTCAGCGAACAGGACATCGAGCGTCAGGTCGTCGCTTTCCATGCTTGTCGACCGTCCAGAGCTGACCCGGTTCAGGACGTGTTCGGCAAGAGGGCGGCGGAGCTACGGTCGTGGCCGGAGCAGACTTCGGACGCTGATGCAAACGACCAGTGGACGGACGATGATGACGCTCCCGTCAGCGGTGACGCGACGGCGGAGCATGTGTATTTCACTTACGACGGAGGACCTGACTACATGGCTCCACACACATCCGTCATCACTGACGATGTGCCGTCCGGTGGTCAGGCCAGTGCCACCGGCAGAGCCGGTGATCGTCGTCGACGACGACCTCGTGGAGGAGCAGGAACCACTCCGAGGCCTTCGGCAGACGGGCAGACGTTGGGAGGTCAGGAGCAACAGCAAGCCGGAGGGGGAGGAGGAGGAGGAGGAGGTGCTGCGAGGGCGGGATCGTCGGTTCTCTCCCTCTCATCATCAGACTACGGGACCACCCGAGCCTACCAGGTTGAGGACGAGGTCAACATCGGCAGCGGAGAGACAACGGACACCACCGATCGAGCACCGTGAGGGGACCGGGCTTGCGGACATTTCGGAGTTGGAAAGGACTCCATCCTACGTCGGTGTCCGCCACCGCTCGTCGTCCGAGCTGTGTACCGACGACTTCTAAGTCGGTGGCTCTGGCGGGGGTTTGGGGGATTTTAGTGCCCCGAGACAGGGGGGTGCCTCGCTGTCGGACGTGCGTATCGATGATTCTTATGTGCGGGACCATGTAGAGAGCGCGGAGGAGCGGGATGCCCGGCTGGACAAAGAGGAGAAGGAGCGGCTGGGGGCATTGTCGGGATGGGAGGGTCGTTTCGCGTATATGGAGGAGCAGCGTTGACKGAGGGAGTTGGAGACAGGGGGGGGTGGCGGTGGTGACGCAGTCGGAGCGGGTTTTGGTGGGGAGGCTGATGCGGGGGCGGCCCGACAGGGTGTCCCTACGGGTGTTGAGGGAGATGGTGTCGTCGTGGGTGGTGGGGGGGAGGGTGGACCCAGGCGAGATGCAGGCCGCGACGATGGCGGCGAGGATGAGGACGAGGAGGGGTCCGACCACGGAGGCGGCGACGACGACGACGGCGGCGACGACGGCGGCGACGATGGCAGCGACGATGGCAGCGACGGCGGCGGTGACGACGATGAGGGTATGCTGGTTTTGGTCGTGAGGGACCCGTCAGTGCCTTCACTACCTCTCACACGGCCCGAGGCCTTCGCGCAGGCTGGTTTTGACGCCGATGATTTGACGCGGCTCGATTCACATGGCCCTTTCCGCCACACGGGCCGTAGGAGCGGCAAAAGGCGCCCTCCTGGAGGGGCGTATTCGCCCCCGCCCTACATCGTGGATAGCCCTAGATGGTCAGATTCGTGGCTCAGCGGCATTAGAGGGAGGGAGTCCGGGCCGGTTGATGGCGGGTCGGGCTGTCGCAGTGACGGCGGCGGATCTGCCGGATCGATGCCTCCGCCACCCGCACGGAGCACGAAGGGCGGCGCCGACGCGACTACGGCCCGTGCGCCCGTTGCCGGTTCCCCGCCGTCTGTCGCAGGTGGTGTTGCCGGCGGATGGGCAGCTCATCGTCGGGTCTCGGACCGGATGAGGGCGGATTACGACGCCGGGAGGGGCGCCTTCGCAGGACGTTTGTCACCACGGTTTTAGGTTGAGGGCAACAACGAGGGTGGCTCCGGACGTCCGAGTCTTCACATGGTAGGTCGCATGCTCGGTTTGTCTCGATCAACGATGAGGAGAGTTTTTATCCCGCCGCCGATCCCGGCCCCAGGGACAGTTGTGGACATACATCAGGGTCAGCACTACACATCCGGCGAGGAGGGGTTGCTGTTGCGTCGTGGGACTAGACGACATAGCGCTTTCACGGACGTCGAGGCTCGACTCGCAGCAGAGATCGCCACCAGCCAGGCAGCATTAGACGCGATTCAGAGGCAGCGACAAACGATTGCTGCAGCGGGGGCCGAGGACGAGGACGCGGACATAGAGTCCGAGCCGATCGACAGTACAGTCCGCAGACATAGAGCGGCCGTGTCCGCTGCAGCCGCGGCAGCACAGGCGGCATACATCAGTGGTGCGCAGGGCACAGATGCTGGAGGGGGTCCGGAAGGACCGCGTGGTCGACAGTCCACCGGGAGAGGCCGCAGGCGTCCTTCCGGAGGTAGAGGTTCTGGACCTTCCGCAGGGAGAGGGAGGTGTTAGCGCCTTTTTTATTTTTATTTATTTTTATTTTTTTTGTAGGACGTCGTTTTAACAGGGTAGTTTCATAGTCATGTTGATGTTGTTCCTCGAGGTTGTATCATAGTTTTGTACAGGACGGTGTTTTGATAGGGAAGTTTCCATAGGGACGGATGGTATGATCGCATTAGTTTTTTTGTGAGGTACCGTGTGTCACGGTTCGGTTGACGTTACACCAGCGGTGCGTTGGGCACAGGTGCTGGAGGGGGCCCAGGAGGAGCGCGTGGTCGACAGTCCACCGGGAGAGGCCGCGGTCGTCCTTCCGGAGGTAGAGGTTCTGGACCTTCCGCAGGGAAAGGGAGGCGTTAGCGCCTTTTTTTTTTTTTTTTTTTTTTTTTTTTTTTACAGGACGTCGTTTTGACAGGGTAGTTTCATAGTCATGTTGATGTTGTTGCTCGAGGTTGTATCATAGTTTTGTACAGGACGTTGTTTTGATAGGGAAGTTTCCACAGGGACGGATGATATGATCGCATTAGTTTTTTTGTGAACCGTGTGTCACGGTTCGGTTGACGTTGATGGGTCCTGTTTTTGGCTTCAGACACGTACATATGCATTTGGAGTGGAGTTTTTTTTTCACTGTCTTGTTCTTCTACACGCTCCTCTTCCACACTCGCTTTTGCATGTAAGTCGTTGTTGTTTGGTAAGTGGTTTGTTGTCTTAAATGTCCCGGGCAAAGCGGGAATTGTTGTCGCAATGTTGCAAATTGTATCTTTGTCTGATGCTACACACATGCATGTTATGGTTGCCCTCATTGTGAATGTGTTCTAAATTTGGTATGCCAAATATGGATGATATGCTACTCATTGTGTTATTTGACCAGCCTCACGAATGAAATTAATGCTTGCCTCTGCTCTGCCATACGCACCCCCACCCAGGCCCAATCCAAACCCCACGCCCTAACGCCCACCCAACCCCCACTCAACCGAAGCCCGCCCATCGCTGCACCCCCACCCAACCCCACCCAAACCCCACCCAACCCCCACGCCCCAGATGTCCAAGTTCAAGTACCCAGTATCCCAGCGCTTGCAGCGGGAGACTACGCACTTGCACTTCAACACTTGAACCCAAACCCACGCAGTGCCCCCCCCCCCCCCCCCCCCCCCCCCCCCCCCCCCCCCAACGACAAACCCACCCCCAGAACTGGCAGACCCCCATCCCCCCACGGTCCCACCCACCAGATACCCCCACCCCCAAAAAAACGAACCCGCAGGGGCACATTTTTTTTTTTTTTTTCTGTGTTGCTTACCCTCCCCCCTACGCACGTGCATCAACGAACCGCAGTCCGGTGGACGCATGAATTTTCCCGGCCCACCCTGCTAGACCCATGTGTAGGACCCCCCCGTTTTTTTATTTTTTTGTCGGTCTGCCACTTCGCGGGCGTGCGCCGCCCCACCCCCACCCGAAACCCGCTCCCCTCTCCCGAAACCCCCTCACATTTCGGCCTCGACCGCGGCCGGAGGTTCTCGACCGGAGCGGGCCCTCCAAGTTTTTTTTGCCATTTTCCCGCCCCAAGGCCAAACACGCCCACGGGAAACAAAACGAAACGACAAAACGACCCCACCGGGAAACAAAGAGAAAAGACAACAAAAAGCAAACGACACACCCACTCGGAAACACAGAGAAAAGAAAAAATAAAAAGCAACTGGAGGCCGACCACGAAACAAAAAGAAAGGCAAAAACGAAAAGCAGGAAACGACAGGCCGAAAACGAAAATGCTAAAAAAAAAAAGGCCGGCCGTTTATCGATGGCAGCGGCTTCGAGATATTCCTTCACATCTACGTCCGCCGTTGCCCGGCCCCATGGGCGCGCTCACTCGTTTAGTGGCGTGCTGTGAACATTTCGGTACGCGCGCCCCTCTACACACTCCCCCGCCTTTGATCACCTTTATGCGCCGGCCCTCCTCAAAACTTCGACCCCAAGTCCGGTGCGCAGCGGACCATCAACCTCCCCCCGCGGCCGATGCTGCTTAAGGGGTAGGATATATATATATTTTTCAGCCGTTATAAAATCTCTGTGACATTTCATTTTGTTTTTATTTCTTTCAGTATGTTTATCTTTTTGATTTTTTTAAATATACTCAAACATCAAAAAATAAAAATAAAGATATAGGGTTGTAGTCCTCGGAAAGGCATACCCCCCCCCCCCTTTCCCCTTTTTTTTTTCTGATTATGTTTAGACTGGAAAAAAATCATTGTAAACCCGGTTTATTCGTGTCTAACTCGTGTTTAAACGGGATTCGACGCAAATTTAACGTGTGTTGAATAATTCAACGCGGAAGCAGCGTTGAACCAAAAATCGGACACATAGACGAGAAGGCATAGCCATAGTCCACGTCCGTGACGTCGAGGGGAAACGCTGGGGAATTTTTTCGGCAGCGACGCAACCGATGAATGGGGCGATGCTGCCAAAAGTTCAGCACACCGGCATTACTTCTTAAGGAGGTTACGCCGCCAAGATTTTGGTGCGACGATGGCCATTATTTGTGTTGGGGGTTATGAAATCGGATCGCCTGCACATCAGCGACGAAGTTATGAAATCGGATTTGGACTGCATGCCAATGTCGTGATAGGAGTTAGCCCAGTAGGTTACAACATATGAGTCATACCCAACAGATACCGGGATCGAATCAGGTATGCCGCATCCTTCCAGGAGCTGGCCGCCAAACATCTGGGCGCGACCGATCTCGGCCGTGTGATCATGAGATCACGCAGCTGAAGATCAGCCGCGCGAGATCTGTCTGGCCCGTGCGCAAGGATGACATGCATAAATCGAGAAATGACCCAAAATATATATATATATATATATATATATATATATATATATATATATATATATATATATATTTTTAATAAAAAAAATGTCCATGAGGACTTGAACTTAGGTCTGCATCACTCAGATGCATGGTTGAAAAGCCACGTGACTAGTGATGCGACTGTTGGCATGAGCGAACGGGAAAAAAAAAAAAAAAAAACTGAGTTCGAGAAGCGCCACATGGCGCACTATGAAGTGACAGGGAGTTAGACCTCCCAAAGAATAGTGTAGGCACCCGTTTTTTCGGGCAACCATTTTGATTTCTTTTCTTTCTTTTTTTTTGATTTTTTTAGATTTGTTGTTAGATTTTGTTGTAGATTGTTTTGTCTTCTTCGTCTTTTTAGATCCCCCCCCCCCTTCTCGTTTTTACGAATAGTAGTTTGTCTTTGCGTCCATTCGTTTTAAAGAAACGGGCTGCAAAGAGGGTACTTTCGTTGGTAAGGGGAGAGAAATTGAATGAATCTACCACTAGAATTGGGACTAAACACTTAGAGAGAGAGAGAGAGAGAGAGAGAGAGAGAGAGAGAGAGAGAGAGAGAGAGAGAGACAAACGAGTGCCTTACTTGGCGAGGAGCAACTCGATGGCAAGAAGGTAAGGGCCTCGTTAGACATTCCTTACGAGTTCCTTGAGCCACAAGGAAATTTCCTTGTGGCTCTTAAGGGAAATTTGCGGTGTCGTTCCACTCATCCTTGGGGACCTCCCCCGAGGATGTTTCCTTGTGCCAGCTTATGGCGTGCCCGCGACCGTTTTCATACGGAAATTAGTGGCCGCGGGGTCGGACATCCTTGGTCCACCGTCTTTTGTCTGTGTGCAGGCGGTGTGGTCCAGCGACATATGGTGGGAAACGAAATGAGGTGGGTGATGGGAAAAAAAATTAACCCGGGGGCGTTGACGTTTGAAATTTGAGTTTCGAATGACGGCTGCGACGACGACGACGACGTGCGGCTGGCGGCGCAAAGACGACGTACTTCTGAAACGGGCTCAACGGCGGCGTCACTTCTGTCCCCCGGCCGTTGCGAGTGCGCATGCATCGTCCGGTGCGTCCATCGCCGCCGACCTTCGCACACGTCGGCTGCGCCATGAAACACATTTTCGTCTGCGGGACTGCATCAAGAGAAGAAGGGCCAGCTTTTGACGGATGAAACACACGGCAGCGGCGCGACGGGTCCGTGTCCAAGTTGCGGCTATGGAGGGCAGCGGAGAGGGTGGACGTGCGGTGTTGACGCCTCTTGAGCTGCAGGCCGTGGCGCCGGCCGTGTCTACCGTTGTTCTTCGATGTCAGCAGGAGAGGGCGCTGGGACGACTGAAGGAGCAGTTGCGCACGCGTAGACGGAGGACATTGATGCAAGCTCCAAACGATGGCCCCGATTACGTGGCAACCTCGAAGGTTGTTGTTCAGTTGTGCTATGCATTGGGTTGCGGAGTGATTCCTCGAGCGACGTCGAGGTGGTGGATGAAGCGCAGGACAGGAGGCACTTGGGAAGACCTTAGGCAATGCGACGATGCGACAGACGAATACTTCCGGGAGAAGCTACGCATGTCACCACGAGTGTTCTCGGAAATCGTGGAGGCGTGTGCGCCTCATCTTCAGCGGTCGGTGACGTTCTACAGAGAGCCTTTGCAGCCAAACCAGATTGCGGCGTACACACTGTACAGATGGGCATCGGGGGAGACGTACAGGAACATCACGTGCAACTTCGGGATTGGCAGAGCTTCTGGCCTGGTTGCCGTTCGCGACATTACTGCTGCGCTGCTCCGGGTGTACGGAGAGAAGATTGCCTGGCCGGCTGGAGTTCGTAAACTCGTCGTTTTGCGGGCGTTCGCTGATAAAGGGTTCCCCAATTGCCACGATTACATTGATTGTACTCACATCTACGTGGACAAGCCGGTGAACGCACCGAGCAAAAACTACTATGACAGGAAGCGTCGTTTCTCCATCGTCACGAAGGTTGTCGTCGACCTGGACTTGCGTGTGCTCGATGTGCACATGGGATACCCGGGTAGCTGCCATGACATCAGGGTACTCCAGTTGTTCAACCTGTGGCAGCGCGTGGAGTTGGGGTCGTTGTTCCGTGGTCCCCTTGTGACACTACCGTTCGGTGTGCAGACGGACAGGTATATCCTGGCGGACAATGGCTACCCCCCTTTCGAATGGATGATCATCCCGTATGGAGGCGTCAATCATGACGTCGACGAGGAGCAGTTTGACAACAAGCAGAAGGTGGCGAGGGGAGCGGTGGAGAGGGCATTCGGCAGGCTGAAGGGCATGTCGCGGTTGTTTCTGCGGATGCACAAGACCAACCTGGACATGCTCTCGCAACATTTCACCGCCGTTTGTATACTGCACAACATATTGATCGACACTGGAATTCCGTTTGACGAGAATCTGCTATGGGAGGTTGACGCTAATGGTGTGCGACAACGCGTGAACCTGCGGATCGAAGAGCCCCTTCAGCCTGTGTCGATGATTACGTCGATAGACGAAGCGTTGGCCCTGCGGGATGCTTTAGCGAAACGAATAAAACACGATTGAGTCATGTTCACATGGTGGACGGAAGCGCGTGGAAGTGTAGTCATTGCAGCATTGGCAAGAGGGAAGATTCGTTCTTTCGTCACGCCTTGAATGGAGTGTTAGTGCACATCCCGCATTGGGGTTGGTAGTTTGCGTTCGAGGTTGCAGTTCGTCAGCGTCGCGGTGCGTGGATGTGCGCGCCCGTTGTTCAGGGAGCCCAGCAATCGGCATTTTCGTTGTGTAGTGGGGATACGACACACTGCGGGTGTCCTGTGCACCTTTTTTTTTGACACGTGGCGGTTGTGTTGAAGAGAGCGCAAGGTTGATCGTGCGGGAGGGGCTGAAACTTGTCGCCCCTGCGTTAGATTATGATGTTTTTTTTAACAATTGGTGCTCGATTTTATAATTTCCTTGCGATGTTAAAATCGTCGATTGAGGGTGCAGGTGGCGAGGGGTGATGTGTTCTTCTTTTGTCTATTGTTAGTATGTGTTGTTCTTCTGAGTGTTGATATTTCAATGCGATGATGAATTAGGAAGAAGATACAGTGTGCCATTGCATCTTTACAACAACTGCTCTTGGACGTCGTCTGCTCTTAAGGGTTGTGTGCATTGTCTAACTAGGACTATTATAAAGAAAATCAAATACAGTTGTTGGTGTCATTTGAGAAACTGCAAAAAACGAACCAAACGAACGACAATGACATCATAAAAAGACGAAGATGAAATGTGTGCATGCAAACGTCGCAATGATCATTCACGCATGCACGGAGCCCGCCACAGTCACTCGCACGCGCGTGGTGGGCCGGATAGGGCAAGGAGTGTGTCGTTTAACCCCGCCATGAAAGTCGTTGCGCGCACGCGTGGTGGTGGGGGGGGGGGGGGGGCACAAAGGGCAAGAAGTGGGTTTTCTGTTCCCAAGGATGGGGGGCGCGCGGCCCCACAAAGATCATGAACACGCAGTCGTGTGGCAAGGGCCACGTAGGGCAAGAAGTGGGTATTTTGTTCCCGAGCCATGATATCACACACACACATGGGGAGGGCCAGATAGGGTGAGAATTGGCTTTCCAGTACCCAAACACCAGGGGCATGCTTCGCGCGCCCCCACCACGATTACTCTTGTACACAGGGGGGGGCAAGACACCCTCTCTCTCTCCCCCTCTAGTAAAAATATTCCGTTAAGTTCATTGAATACTTACTTGAGCAAACTTTTATCTGTAGAATGAGAAGATTCAGAATTTTGTTTTCATCGTGAAAAAAAGGTAAATCCAATAAGAATAAAATAAATCAAAAAACAAAATAGACACATACATATATTTTAGACGTATATACATAGTAGATGTTTGCATTTTGTTTGAATACTTGAAGAACAACTTTTTTTTTTTTTATTGGAACAAAGGTGGCCCGCCACATCGTACGTAAGTGTACAATGTGGCACTCACGTTGATCCAACTTTCGGTCCCATGTCTCCGTGCAGCCAAACGTGGCAGGCCGTATGGGGCAACCTCGGACAATGTGGTATGCACAAACGTCCACCGGGTCAAGTACAGGAAGACACACGGACACATATCCATGCTTTCGGACAGATGGCACGCCGCAATGGCCAAAAACTTACAACGTGGCACCCACCCCAACAGTTCTCCTTTGAGCCGAAAGTCGCGTACCACATTGAGCAAAAGGGGGTTCAGACCGAAGCAGCAAAACCGGAAAAAAAAACAAAAAACAAAAAAAGCAAACAGCTCATCGGCCCCTATATAAGGGCGACGGCTCCCTTCAGATGTGGACGACCGCCGTTCAAACATTTGAGGAGGGGAGGGGAACCAAAAGGTGGGGGAAACGTTTGGAACAAAGGGCCGAATCTTAAATTGGGTGGGTGCTCCCGCCCGACCTGAGATCAAAAGGCAAGGTCGAACGTACCTCCACAGCTCGAGCCCGACACCCCCAACCGCAAGCCCACCTCAAGCTGATGGGAGCGAACGGAAGGCGGCGACCACACAAACCGGAGGGACGACCTTACGTGCCGTTTTCAGGGAAACGAAGACCACCACCCACAAACGGGTGTCGGAGGGCAACAGCAGGGCGGAGCGAAACGCGCCACTCTGGGCTGCGGCCCCCACAGGCCCGCTCGGAATGCTCTCCAATTCCCTTCCACTTTAGGCTATTGACGCTCTCTAAGTGGGAAGTGAGGGAAGCCACGACCACGGACCCCWCCACTCTCCGAAACGGAAGGTGCTGAGGTCGTGAGGAATCCAATGATGCTAAGGCGGGCGTGCCCTCGGCARAAGCCTTGGGCGCCACGTGCGTTCAAGGTATCGATGGCTCACAAATTTTTGCAATTCACATCGAGTATCGCATTTCGCTGCGCTCTTCATCGTTGCGAGGGCCAAGATATTCGTTTGCCGAGAATTCTACAATATGGTGCCATTCCGACAGGACCGTCAACCCGGATAGTGACAAATGAGAGCAGGTACATCAATAATAAGTTGCAAAGTCGTCGCCACCACCGCTGCGGCAGGCCCGTCCGACCCCTCGTTCGGGGGGCAGGCAGGGCACCGGGGAGCGGCAGAGCAACGAGGCGTAAGCGCTGTCTCCTCCACCCCCCCACCCGACACCGCCCTATTCACGACCAAAACCCTCCCCCAACGGCTCCCCACCCCGAGATTCGGACCAGCTCGACTGTGTCGTCGACGCCGATCTGTCCGGAAAGGAGAACCCCATTGGAAAGGAAGCGAGGACGAAACAGGGAGGGGCCGAGGACCCCGCAACACACCCCACCCGTAGCCTCTACCACCGCACAAAGCCGAGGTTGAGGCTGGGATGGAAAGAGGTCTGGACAAAGCTGAGACGGGAGGGAGCGGGGGTACCCGGGCCGAGGAAAGCCGCCACCACCCGACATCCCGCCCCTGCCCCTCCTGCAGGGCTGCCCGTCCCCGAACCAACCGCCATCCCGACCAAAAGTCGACAATGGGGATGGGCCGAGGTAACAACCTGCGGAGGCGAGACGGGATGAAAGGGGAGCAACGCCACAAGGCCCCGGACCCTGCCCACTTCCCCCACCCTCGACCTACACCACGGCCCCCTCTGCGTCGGACCGACCGCCAGCTGGGCGCTAAGCCCAAGATGGTGCTGAAACGGAAGAGAAAAGCGGATGCGAAGAGGATGGGGGCAAAGGGCGGCGGAAGGGAGAGCAAGCCAGCGTCCCACACCCCGAAGATCGGTCGTTCACGTGTCAATGATCCTTCCGCAGGTTCACCTATGGAAACCTTGTTATGACTTCTCCTTCGTCTAAATGATAAGGTTCAATGAACTTCTCACAGCACCCCCAGCGGCAAACCGCCGAGATCACCGCAATCCAGACACTTCACCGGACCATTCAATCGGTAGGAGCGACGGGCTGTGTGTACAAAGGGCAAGGACGTAATCAGCGCGAGCTGATGACTCGCGCTTACTAGGCATTCCTCGTTCAAGATCGATAATTACAACAATCTATCCTCGTCACGATGAACCTTAAGAAGGTTATCCGGGCCTTTCGACCCAGGCAAGCGACTCGTTGGATTCATCAGTGTAGAGCAGTCAGCCAAGATTCTCGATAAATTATGAGTCAGGTAGTCGCTTCTTCTCAATAAGGGGAAAGAAATGCTCTTCAAGTTTGGGGAGAATAAGCTCAGGGTATAGGGACAACGAACCTTACCACCCTCGGATTCAATCCCGGATTCAATCTCAGTGAGAACCAGCATTTATCCAGTCAGGAAAGGTGAGGTACGATGTCTACCTGCCCCTGTGCTATTTACCTTTCAACTATCATGAGAACTATGTACCTTTCCACAGGATGAGGAGGAGGAGCTAGAGGACAGAAAAACTATTCCCTATGATACATACTCAAGAGAATTTGATTGAGGAAGAATTAAATCACTTTTTGCCCTGTCATCCCCAACGAAATTACTTCGAGCGGAAACAGGGAAGGAATAACGAATACCTGGCCTTGTGGGCTCTGCTACGAGGAAACCAGTGTACTGACTGCGATTATCTGAATTCCTCAGTCGAGTTGATAAGTAATCATGGTTGGCTTCTCTTCCCTCGCATGGCGAGCTAACGTGAATTACCTCGTCAGGTCAGAAGGGACAAAAAGTTGTGAACTCTTGAATCAGGACCGCTGCCTTCTCTTCATCTTGATCTTGAAAACCTGGTGGAGGCTCCAGTGCTCCGACACCTCAGTTCTTCTTTACCACCTTCCCCTACCGAGTTCTCCCTTGGGATGGCTCAACCAATAAGTATTTCTCTTCCTCATGGGATAACTTGTTGGGCTAGCCGCGCTCGGTACCGGGGATATTGATACCGCCTGGTCATGGGACACCATGTATGAATGTGTCAAGAAACTTACTTGATAGCTTACGTAACTATGGCATGCTAGCCAACGTGGCTATGGCTTGCCTCATTAAGGAAGAGACCTACTGTGAAAACCTAGGCATCCAACGGTAAGATTCTCCCTCACGGAGTTACCGCTGCCGCGGAGTCGGTGGTTGAGTCGAGGATGGTACTAGCGCTAGCGGTAGCGCCAGCATTTGGTACCGTTCGGAAAATTAGCGCAACGATAGTGCTACCGGGCCCCTTCGCCACCAGCCCCCTCTCACGTTCTTGGGTGTTTTTTTTGCCTTTCTTTTTTTTTTCAATTTTTGCTTCCCAAACAATTCGCAGCCCTTAGGCTGCGGTATAGTGGGCTTTGGCGTTTGTGTCAAGGTGTCGCATTTTTGGCGGCGGGCGACCAGGACGCAAAGTGGGTTCTTAGGGGGCAAAAAAATTTGGGGGACCGGTCCTTGGCAAAATTGCGGACTACCTACAGCTAGCTCTGGTAGAACCGGGACTGTTGGAAAAAGGAAGGGCCAGTCCTCGGGTGGAAGTGGACCCCAAAAAGAAGTGGGGGGTGTTGGACCGGTCCCCGGGTAGAAGCGAACCCCAAAAAGAAGTGAGGGCATGTGAACTGCAAAAGGGGCCTCAGGCCCAGGCATTGAGCCCCGTCTTTTCAAAACAGGGAGGTCATGCACAACGAAATAGGCATTTTGCAAGAGGCAACTTTGGCGATTTTCTGTGCTC